CCCCAATTCGTTCCAAAAAATGAGTGTTAAATTGGCTGCTCAAGTTTTTAGCCACTCTGTGGCATCGGCTATTCGAACGTGTATTTCTACTACTGAATTAAAAAGTAACACGGCCTTTGACACAGCTGATTTTACCGAATTCATGAATAACCTGTTTGATTGCCTTAACAGTAGAAATGATATAGATTAGTGCAAACCCGTACACTTGTGCTTTAAATAATTCAGGTGTAGTTAAATTATTTTTATTGAAAGCAAAAGATTATTTTAAAGACCTACATAAAATCAATAGTAAAGGCAAAGTGAATCGCCCCCCCCCCTGTTTTAATGGCTTCACTCAAACAATTAATGGTGTCTTCAGTTTTTTCGATGACGAATTAAAAAACAATGATAAAGTGTTTTTATTTACAAACAGACTAAATCAAGACGTACTCGAAAATCTTTTTTAAATTTTCCGACAAAAAGGGGGTTATAACAAAAATCCTACGGCTAGGACAATCCGAACTTCTTTTCGTAGTACTTGTGTTTTTTCATTAATAACATCAACAGGTACTAACTGTGAAAGAAGTGAGGAATTAGATGAACCATTTTTACTACAAGATGTGAAATAAATTTAATAACGAAAAAAAATTGACCAGACAAAAATCAAATATTATTAATTCACAAAAATTACTTAGGCATAGACAGAAATATAGGACTCATGGCACCATCAATCAAATTAAATAATATTATAGATCACGCTTTGACTATTTTTGAATCAACGTTTGAAAAACTTAAACACAAAAAGAAAATAAGATCTAAATTAAGTAATATTTTAAAAAATGACCAATTAATATCTAGCTGGGTTAATGAAAATACAAATAAGTGCGCTGACCTTTATGTTTTTATTTAATTTTAAATAATCAAATAACCGTATAATTTATACTATTACTTTTTTTTATTACATTATATAGTGAATTTTTGTTCGTGTATTTTAAATTTAAATATTGTGTTTGTATTTTAATTATTGTCACGACAAAATCGATTGGATTGAAACATTTTATATTATTATAGATGTTTTATGTGATTTTTAATTTTTTTTTTGTATTTTCGTATCATAACCATAATATTATTACCATTAGTTTTAAAATATAAAAAGGGTATTTCGACGGAATCAATATACGCTCGTTTGTTTTTATAACTTTGTATAAGTCAGGCACCGTCGGCGGTTTACCGCTCGGCCAAACTCTAGTATCTGCATAAAAAATTTAGTATGACAGCGATATCTATCGACGATTTGAAAAAACAAAATACTATAGTCCACGAAAACTCACGAAAACTGAACGTTCAAGGCCGATGGGCGGCGGCCAAATATTGTCGATGCCAGTGGTTCTCCGTATTGTATGTATTATTGTTGTTGTCAGCTGTTGGATAGAGTCAGTTTTTTATAGTCACTAAAAACTCGTATACTACCGCTTATCTGTATATTCTAAAATAAATGGTAAGAACTATTTTGTTGTTATTATCGTGTGTTGTTACTTCTTTAATAACAGTATTATCCGTTAAAAACTCGGTTATATTAAAATTGTCAGGTCTAGTATCATATTTATAAACAGATGATTCATTAGAGTTATTAATTTCCGACGGCGAGACCCATTCATTTTTTTCTACACATTCGACCGGTCTAGTAATACTAGTGTTTTTTCTTTGTTTGTTTTTACGTTAACGCATGGTAATGATTTTACTATTGGTATATTTACGTTCTTGTTAACGAGAATTTCACTGTTAAATTCTAGGCAAGCTGTATTTTTAATATTACTCAAGTTACATGCTTTATTATAATTATACCAAATTTCATCCATATGCATAATAATATTTCCCTCTGTTAAAATTATTTGCTTTTCATGAAAATTAATTATCATTTTATTTGTGATATTAAAATTATTTCCCAATAATATTTTACAATTTAGCCCTTTTATTACATAAGCATTAACAATTTATGGACAATTATTTATTTTAATATTTATATCCATCATTCCTAAGTGTTCCAAAATCGTACTGTCCGCCCCTGTAATAGTAACTTAATTTTTTGGTTTAGTGTTTTCAGTATTTTTCAATAAAGAAAAATCAATACATGAAAAGTTAGAACCTGTATCTATAATAGCTGGTCTCTTAATCCCATCGAGCTCAATATCTATTGATAATACCCTTTGTTTTCTCGCATCCTCTATCTCTAAATTACTTTGTGATTCCTTATAAGTATTTTTAATTACATTATTTTTATACCATCTTTTCGCTTCATTATTGATGTAACAATTAAAATTGCCCATGGCATATCTGACTTAATAGCTATATATTAGCTATATATTAGTCCCTAAAATATATATGTTTTAATTATTTCCTACCATCATTCCATATTTTTGTGTTTAAATTTTTTTTCTAAATTGTGCATACCAAGTTCATCATAATATAAAGATTTCTTTTTTAATTGAACAAGTGGTTCATGGTATTGATCCATAATTTAATTTTTTCCATTCATCATGCAAGTAGTTAACTTGCATTTTTGTTGGGTTTACTGCAGCAATAGCTAACAAATTACATGATTCTTCTTAGAGAAGTAATTCGCTTTGCTCTTCAAAGTGCGTTAAAACGAATTAAAAGTTACTTGCGGTCGAGAATGACTAAACAATATTAATATATTAAATATTGAATCAGATATCACACACATTTTGGAGTATAATGACATAATGGATGAATACCTATAGTTCCTCTAAAACTTGTAATGATATAATGTAAATTATAAAAATGTATTGCTTTGTAATTTTTGGATAGTAAATAAACCTACTTTATATTTGTGACTAATTTATAAAGATAACATAATGTTTACTCTGCTTTTTTTTTTTACTAACTTTTGTCCAACCCCTTGTGGAAGCAAGTTTTTTTATGTGTAAAGTCCTAAGTGTAATTGTTATTTAAATGTATTGTCATGTAAGTAATCAGTGAATGTAGACTAACAAACTGAGAGCATTCACTCATTTATAGCAATAAGTGAACCATTTAGTTCTTTAGTCACTCTTATATTATAGATTCCAGTATAGAAGAAGAATTTGATCTCTCTCTCTCTTACGTTAAACGTCCGTAATTCCCACATATAGCGTCTTAGACGATTTAGATTTGGCATTTCTGGGCTTATAGCTGGCTGCAGACCAAATGCTACCAAACAAGTTTGCCCCAGAGAGAAGAGTAATTTTATCTAACAACTAAAAATTGTTTAATAGAAATCTTTGATTTAACAGTCAATGTCAACTGGTTCCACCAGAGATTACAAAAATTGAATACATTAAAACAAAAATGTAACAATTAAGTTAGAAAGCACCAGAAAAGATAACAATAACGTACAGGCCGTTATTACGGCTGGTCACCGGACGGTTAGCTCCAACGCTCTTACAAGACATTAGCCCGGGCGCCAAATTTCTGAATACGTCTCTGTGAGTAATACTCATTAAGTATATAGTATTATGACTTTATACTATTATTTTGAGTTGTGTATAGATATAATTTATTATGAATATAACCTTATACCTTATTGTTCACATTGGAATTTTTCTTTCTGATTTAGTCTATTTACTTCGGTGAGCATCGTAATCACAGTTGACGATGACCAGTATAGCCGACCCTTGTGAAAAACCTGTACACGAATATTCGTTATTCCTTTGATCATGTGCTGCATTTAACAACAATCAATGGGCCCAACCCACCAGTGACTCGGCGTGTAAAAATATTCGTTATACTTTATAACTTTATAACAATTAAATATCGCCTAAACGACTAGCAAAGAATATAACTATCCGCGGGTTTAGATCCAAAATGTTCAATGTGTAAATGTTTGATCAGTTTACTCGGTACTTGCGGTAGTATGTATTTTTCTATATGTATGCACACGAGGCACATTAATTTTTGGATAAATGTAATATAGCTGTCGTCATTTTTACCAAAGTGGGAGAGTCACAAATTTTACAAACGCTACTAACATAAAAAGTAATTGATAATAATTGTGTACACAGGATTTGATAACAGCTGCGCAGCAACAGTGAAATCGTGTTGGAGGTAGAACCACTGGAGGTAAATATCCAGACGCGGCTTACACGCATAGACCTAATAACATACATACATATTATTATACTATATAATACATATTATTCAGTATTCTTATTGGGTCTATGCTTACACGGCTTGTATGACTCGTCCAGTTTATCTTGACACTTTGTGACGTCACGCGTCTGAACAGATCAGGGGTTCGAAACTTATGGTCGGAAGTCATATGTTACCAGTATAAGGGAAATATGTAATCACGGTCCACTGTTTAGTGTTTCTGACCAAGATTGGGCGTTGTTACGAGTTAATCAATTAATATCAGTAGCATTTGTTTTAATTTTTTTTCTAAAAACTGCATTACTCACTTATTGTTAATAGGGCGTCGCAGCGCCCATTTTTAAGGAGTAAAGTATAGGCAATTTTTTACAAAATCTTAATTTAAAGGTTAAACTGTGATGTGTAATTATTAGTTCAATACACCGTAAGTCGTAACGGTCGCCAGATGAACTGGACGAGTGATACGAATGTTTTTTGCCTACCTAATATTACTTATGGAAAGTAAGTAATTTATCGGTAATTTACCAAAATATCTCCAATTTTATAGGTATTTTTGTCACTGAGGTGATTGAGTGTCATTTTTACGGGAATTGTTTTCCCGTCTACACCGAACTCTTTAACGAAATCGACAAATTTTGGCAGACTTGCGACTGCTTGAAAACCAGTATTTGATTAATACTAGCACAAGGTCTTTTAATAATATAAACAATAACATGTAATATTTCGGATTATTTTTACTGAATTGAACGACAATGTCTAATGAAATATTACACGGAGTATTATTATAATATAATTATATCGTTTAATATTATTATGTTGAACAGTATAACTAATCTATGACTATAGATGGTTTATTATCTTAAATACATTTATTGGCGACCATCTCAATAGTATTCTATTTGGGTTCCGGAAGACGACCAACGTTCATGGCTGTTTTAAAGCCATTGTATAATAATTTCCATTCTCCGCCTAAAAATCACCAATATAACATTAACTAAATATATACATAATACAAAATGTCAATAAAATGTTTCAATAATACCATGACATTTTTAAACATAACAGTTGGACATTTTTTTAATATATTTTAAATGCAGTTTAATTTTTTGAAATAATAAACCTCGACCATTTTTTAGAAGGAATTTGAGTACATTTTTATGTTATTACTTTCTAAGGAGGACCAGATAGTTTGAAAAAAAAAATGTTTGCGGTCCAGAAATACTTAAATATTAGTTAATAAATTTATTTATTTTTTTATAAAAACACAGTATAAACAACTTTAAGGTTAATTATTTAATAGAATACGTTATATAATATAAATTACAAATGATAATGTTTCATTAAAAAAATATACAATTTTATACCTTAAAGTTTAATGGGAGAAATGACATACTTTGTCCTGAGCCAGTATTTAAAATTTGGTTCTTTTTGAGTACAACTAATGCGCAGAGTGTTTTCAATGTGGAGATCAGTTAATCTTAAACGATAATTGTTCATTAAAAAGGTCATTTTGGAGAACGAAGTTTCACATATATATGTGGAGCCAAACATGGTAGCTAATTTTATGGCCAGTTTTTTACAATTCATATACTTATCCAAAACATGCTTTGCCCAAAAATCTTCAGTAGATTTAGCTTTGTAAATTTTAATGAAATATCTTCTTGCAAGTCAATAATTTCTATTTGAAGTAAAGATTTTAGAAGTCCGAACAACTTTGTAGTTACGTTAGTCCATTCTCCTGTTAGAAAAACTTCATGAGGATTTTTCAAAAATTGCGACAGTTTTTTTTATCTCTTCAAAATCTTTGAATCTATTACCAAATTCTTTACCAAGGTCTGACAAAAAACTTAAAAACACACTGCACTCTATGTCGGAATTCTTTTTATATTGAAGTATTGTTGGAAAATGAATAAATTCTTGATTTTCAATACCTTCAAATAATTAAAGCTTTCGGTGGCTAGCAGAGATACTTGATATCAGATCGCATATTAACTTTTCATTTCCTTGTAACTCAGTATTAAGTGCATTTAAGTATTCAAGAATGTCTTTTAAAAAAGCCACAGCTAGCGTATTGCACTTGTTTGTTAAGAATTTATGATATTTCTTTGCTTGTTCTGAATCCAAGTTTACCAAGAACGTGATTACTTTTGATTTGTTATTCCAAAAACGTTCGATCACTTTACCTTTACTCAACCAACAAACATTGATGTGTTGAAGTAAATCCGAATAAGCCGAATCACATTCAGATAAAAACTGTTTAAACTGCCTGCGCTGAATAGAAGATCGGGACCTTATAAAATTAATCAACTTGATCAAGCCGTCCATTACGTCCTTCAGTGTGGTACTGAGTTTTCCACACAGTGATGTCTGATGAGATGCATTTATATGAAAGTATTTAATGTTCTTAGACTCTAAGTTAACATTAATGGCAGACATTGTGAGTGTTACAAGTAAAACTAAGATAGCAGTTAAAATAATTGTCATGGATCACACGAAGGACAGTCAAATGTAGTGATAAAAATATACACAAAACATAAATATATTATAGAAAGAAATACCGATTTCATTCAATACAAACCGTATCACAACAAAAACAAATAATAATACTATGCTTATAATAAGAGTAGGTAAAATTGTTTATTGATCAGTTGGGTTTGGTTGTATTAGGTTAAAATTATTATTAAACAAAATAAACAAGAATACAATACTGTGATATGGTTTTCTTAACTAAAACTATGTTTATATATAATATGATTTTACTAATATAAAATGTAGTTATTAAAAATCACATTTACCCGACGAAGCTCCGAAATCAGCCATAATATCATCGAGTTCCTCTGAAGTATATTCATCTTCTTTATAGTAGTTTTTCATGTCGTTGATAGTAATATAGAGTTGGTAATTTTCTACTAGGCAATTTTTTTAAATTCATCACGTATCACCTAAACATTTTTTTTAAACTTATATAATTTTTTTTCTTAAGAACCGTGTAAACAAATTTCTCTGAATTAATTAGGCTTTATTTTATGTAATCTATTAAATAGTTAAAACAAATATTAATGTTCATTCTAACTTTGGTTTAATGATTTATATTACATAGCTAAGTGATTTTTTTCATCAAAAATTCTAATTCATAATGATGCACTACTATTTTATAATATTATTTACGAAAAACATCTTAAAAACTGTTGAATTTTACTTTATTATGAAGAATATAATAATTTATAATATTTTTACTGGTCCCTTGTTTTAATCCCATTTTGCTTATGTTGTTTTTTTATTACTTATTCTTTTATTTAACTTTATTACATTACATAATTAAATAATAATAAAATTTCAGTCACACTACTTTACAATACTTAACATAACCTCAAAATACACCTTTATAATCATCTCTTATCATTATCTTTGTTATCTGTTATCATTAACGTGTAACCACACACATGTATAATATAAAAAATATATAAATACAATATTTGACCGGTTAGATGTATTACTTGTATGATTTTTGTTAATATGTAATTATTAGTCTGCACACGCTGGATGAATAATAGTAATACCTATATACTTATTAGCAAATTTTATGTACATACTTTAAAGCATAATTCACATTTGCGCAATAGGGCTGGGTTTCGGTAGACCTATGCCCCCAAACCAAGTCCTCGTCATTTAAGTACTATATATTGTTAGGCCCTAACCTATGTTAAATATAAAACATATGGAAAATAACATTTTATTAAGATAAAAATGTATGTGGAAAAGAGCCTGCAAACTATGCGAGTTTTTCTGTAATATGGGCCAGCCAAAACTTCCCCCCCCCTTACTGAAACTGAAATGATGCCACTGTCTATTGATTTAAACTTAAGCATTCCTAGTCTTAACAGTTTCATTAGTATTTAATTTATAGACAATCTCTGCTAACGAATATTCCAGCTGTTTAATCCAAATTTAACTCGCTAATGACTGTTGTGGGCACACAATATTACTGCCAGAAATAACATAAAAAATTCATATGACTTACAGATATAGGCCATCTTGGTATGAGACCTTTTAACGCGGCTTTGGTGAATTGGGCTTTTCTAATTCTGAATTCTTTTTTACCTGGAAACATAATATAATCAGGCTAATAACCGATGTTGTTTAGGCTTTAAATATACTACCAAAACAAATTATAAGGCTTATGAGTATATATTTTTACTAACTATCGTAAAACAGGTGTTATTATAACCTAATACCAATAAAAAAAAAATATTTTAGAGTGTTTGTGTTAGAGTTATAATAATTGACTTATAGAATCACTTATAAAGTTATTAAGTGTTATCTGCATCACCATTACCTATATCATTCAAACATTCAGTTCCATATTTTCGTGTTAAGCCAAGAAATTCATTTGCTTCCTCGCGTTCATAATACTCAAGGAAGTTGTTAAAGTTTATATAGTCGTTATCGCCATATTTTATCGCATTCCACAGATTATTTATTTGCTAACATTGGAAAAAAATAATACAATAGAGAATCTTAATTATTTTTAAAATTAAAAGATCAGAATATTTTTACCTATAAACATATACTTAATATTATTACTTATACTTATTCATATTATTGAAACAATTCTAACACTTATATCAGTGATATATAAAATTATTTTTAAAAAAATCGTGAAAATAAATTACGAGAATAACAAGGATTTTATGTTTGTAATACATCCTGGGTAAAATGATATTTTCAAAATTTTAACTAAATAATTTGGTAGACTAATTTTATATTTTTTTAATATAAAAACCAGTAAATAATTTAAGTCATAGGTGGATAGACATAGACAAATCAGATCTCGAAAAATATGCACCAGGATTAAAACTAGAAGAGAGTGTGGATAGAGTTAGATGGCATCAAATAGTAGAAACAGCGAAGGCCCTAAATGAGCTATAGAAGCTAAGAAATAAACCCTACTTTTGTTGCTGAAAAAACTGTATTTACCTCTTCATCGATAGAAATTACCATTGTAGTAAAATATGTTACACATAATAAAGTAAAATACTTAATATTCATCATTGTGTTAATATTTGTTCGTAGTTGGTACTCGGAAAGATTATCGGTTCTGGATGAAATACCACATAATAATTGCCTATTATGCTTAATAATAGGCAATTTATAAGTATATTTGTTTTGGATTTATATTTTTTAAACATTTGTTTATGTCATCAGAACTCACTCTAAAGTGACTGTGCAAACACAGACAATAGACTAAACACAGACTAAAAATATTGTACTATTTTTTGAACATATTATTTCGCTATATTTTCAATAGAATACGTTTTATCTTAGTGTATTTGAGTCATCGCACGTGTTTTATACTGTTCAAATAGTTTGTAATTGAAAACAATGGCAAGCATACTTCTTGGCTTTAAATACAAATAAGAAAAAGTGTATTTTTAAAGTTTTTCCAATTCATCTAATTTCAAAAGTCAGTACAGTAGGGTCGGGGCATTATAGGGATAGCATAGTGGGAACGGGGAGGTCTACAGGAGTTATTATAAGAGAAAGTGATAAAATTACTTTAAAACGCTTTGATGCTAATTTGTGGACACTGCACCTTACTTTAATACTTTCTTACTATACTACTTTATAGTATAAACTAGTATAGACTTTATACTGTGCTTGGTCTGTACTGGTTTTAACATACTAACCACAAATTTGCATTCAAGTGTTTGTTTGAAAAGGATTTAATCACTTTCAGTTATATTCACCACTATGTAGCGCCCCTCTGTACTGTTCTAAGTATGTTTTTGTGCAATTTATAACCGTATATTTAAAAAAAAATGTATTTAGTTCTTTGCAAAATTTCATGATTTTTTTAATAGAGTCAAAATCATTTTTCCGGTGAGCATTGCCCCTAAAAAAACATTATATAGCATAGCACATTATTCTGATCATAAAACGAAAAAAATGCGTACCAATAACTGCCTATTTATAATTTATTGCGTTTGAAAATTGATGTGTATATTACATAGGTACAGTTGAATGATGACGACTTGTCGAGATCTTATTGCATTTTTATAATTTTCATAATTTCATATTTATTTTTAACGTTCTATTTTCGTCGTTTAGCCGGTAAATTCCCGCTCAAAAACTTAACAGTTCCTGGATCCTCTCTCTGTAAGATTTTCTGCCATAAAAGCTAATTAGGGATGTGTACCCAAATCGTTTCCTATACTCGCTTCTGTCGCCTTTTTTCTTGCGCTCTTTTCTTCAATATCTTAGCATTCAAGTCTTAGTTTGCAGATATATGATACATCATTTTCTGCACTTACGTACATGCCTAATGTAACCATTTCTCCTGTTTTTTTAAATTATACTTCTGAGAAAATTTCCCGTCTGCCCCATTCTTTAGTTGAACATCTGATTTATGATTTTATTTCATCGAACTTACTCAATTCCTTACTTGTTTCCACCGATGGATCTGTCTCTTCCAAATCAGAAGGGTTTTATTTGTTTTATACCAGCACTCAAAATTTCACTTACGGACATATTGGTTGCTCTCTTTTCTCATCATTCTCCGCCTAATGCTATACAATCATAAGAACCCAACAGTTTATTTTTTCCATTGGTCAATATAATATCCTTATTGCTTCTGATTCGCAATTTTGCCTTTTTTTTATTTCTTCCAATTCCTTTTAATTTAAATCAAACATAATTTTCAATTTATACAAAATCAGCATTTTATGTCACTATATTTTTTGTTGATACAATTGGTTTTACATTTACATTTATTCGTACATTATTTTGTATTTCACAACAAATAGTAAACATATTTATTTTTCATAGAATATACGTCTTGCATTTTGTCTCGCATACCTGATTATTTAAATAACAATAATTTTTTGGCTAGTTTGTTTTAAATAAATTATTGTTATTATTAAATATGATGAGAACCAACGCAGTGTAAGAGTTTTTCTATACAATTTCATAGATTAAAAATATAAAAAACCTGATAATATGAGGGGGTTAAAACTTAAAACTATAGTGGTGTAAGGTACGTTTCCGCAAAAGACAAGTCTTGTAGGCATATACATATAAAATTGTTTAAAAAGTGAAGTAATTCGTAACCAGCCTATCATAGCATAGCTTGTATCATAGCATACAAGCACAATACAAGTGTTTTAATTAAATATAGGATTTCTAAGATGCAAATTCGATCATTGATGGCTTCAAATCTCTTTACATTCGTGACTTATTGTTTGCTACAAGCCCTCTTTCATATATTGTTTCTCCACTAAAGACAACTGTGTATCCCCTTGTCTTTATGTTATCTACTCCTGTCCACTTTACTACTTGAATAGATTTCATTGCTAAATTATATGCCCGTTAGTTTCACATTTAGCCATCTTTGTTGTTAATATAATACGGGTGACATGCATCTTTATGTGATTTATGTTTTAATCATAAATCTTATAATTATATTAAGCAATTAGTATGAATGTTCATAAAATTATTATCTAACTACTACTATTATTATCTACTAGAGGCATTATGTGTAAAATGAAAATACTTATAAAACGTAAGTTAAATAAAATACAATATATTATACGTTAACTTACTTATTAATTTTTATATTATCAATGCTTATACAAATTGATAACAACTTTTAACATTAGGACATAAAGCCAAAGTAGGTGAATTATTTGAATACGGCGTTTACGTTTAAAAATGTTTAACATCTTTGAGGACATATACTCAAATTTTAAAATATGTTTAATTTACTTTTTGCTTGAAAAAATGTTTGAATATATAAATAACAATACACAGCTGAAGTCTCAAGTGCTAACTAATAATATTTTCTTTTAAACGTTCAAATTAAATAGTGGTATGTCATATTAAACCAGTTTCCCCATACTTGACATTTTTTGCACGATAATATCAGGTTGCTCAACAAAAAACAGTACAGTAAATTAGCAAAGTATTTGATCAAAGTAGTTATTAAATCTGAATGATTTTATCACAATCGAATACTTCTTTGCAAATCTGTTGATAGCAAGAATCCAGAACATTCTAGACGGTCGCCGTCTACATTAGTTTAGTCCAAAACAATAACAGATGAACCAACACAGAAATAAATTACCAAAATGTGGTCCAGTATCCACAGATACCCATCAAAGAGTTTTCTCAAATAAATTGCTTTTTTAATTTCTTACATCTAATGCTGATTTATCTATAGGTTGCATTATTAAAAACATTAAATCATGGATGTATTGAAAACTATGACTTTATTTTAGTGTCACATTCCGTGACGTGACGTAACGCTAATTATGAAATTACACCTAGCCCAAAAACATGCAGGTTAAAAAAATCTTACATCATTGTAATATCAACACTTTTGGAGTTCACCGGGAAGCTAAAGTAAGCCATTAAAATAATTTCCGCCAGTGATTATCATATTTATTTGATATAATAATCTATAAAAGGCGCTTTCAAACTTAGCAAATTAACACTGACTTGACGAAAACCTTAGAAAAATGTGCTAAAATGTTAATTGGAAATTTTCCAAAAAATGTACACCTTGTGCAGATAGTCAATTTAACATGGCGAAGTCCGTGCTAAAGAATCGCTAATCGTGTTCAGCTCTTCGACCAGATGGTCGAGATTTCCCGGTCTCCCTTGGCCGCATAAAGAACCGTCAGGTTTCTTGCACTCCACCGCGGATGTTTCGTCTAAATCTTTACTGTAGTCACCTAGTTGGTGGTGGACAGTTTTGTTGGGGCAAGCGTTCATGGAGTTGGGCACGAGACTTTGGCTGAACTGCAAGTCGGCGATGGTTCGTTTGAGTTCGCAAACATTTTCGGTTTCGGCCGCGTACACTTGTCTCGCGTTGGCCAAGTCCTTTTCCACCTGCCCGATTTTCCGGTTCATCGCATCCAATTCCCCTTGCAGATTGTTCTTCTCGCGCGACACCGTCTGGATTTCCGCTTCGGTCGCCCGTATTTTCTCCTCGTTACACACGGTCGTCTCACATAGTTTGTGTTGCAACTGTTCGGTGAGTTTGCTCATTTGGTCGTTTTCGCATTTCAAGCGTTCCGACTCCCGTACGCACTCTGCCATTTTGCCCTTCAACGTTTCCGCCTCTGCTTCCATACCGGATCTGTCCTTCTCGAGTTTTGCTATGCGCTCGTCCGCTGTACGTCTCTCGTCGGCCAAAATGCACTCCAGCTCGTGTTTACGCCTTTTCGCATCAGCCATTTGTCGATCCAGTTCTTGAAGCTTACAATTCTGCTGACGCAAAACTTCGTCGATCTCGGCTTTTTCTTTTATCATCGTTTCCATTTGCGATTGCAAATTTTTCATTTGTTCCGCGGTTTCCTTGTCTTTCGTTTCCTCTTCGTTTTTCAACCGTTGATAGTCTTGTCGTTGTAAATCCAAATTGCCTTTTAATATTCTTAATTCGGACTTCAACTTAGAAAGCTGCTCCGTCTGTTCTTCCACCGTACGCTCGTTCCGTGCGATCTCCTCGGATTGTTGTTTCAAACAAGCTTTTTGATCGTCGCTCTTAGCCCTAATCACATCTATGTTGGCCAGTTCTTCGCACAAACTATTTTCTCGACAGTGTAATGTTTCTTCCAGGCATTCGTTTTGTCGTTCCAATTGTTTCGCCTGGTCTTTTAGTTTTGTATTACTTTCGTTCAATTCTAAGAGTTCGGCGTTGCTAGTCTCTATTTCAGCCTTGCTCCTATCCAAATCTCTCTTCGTGCTCTGATACATGTTCCATACCTCTTCATGGCTTTTAATCAAACGAGTAAACATAGTTTTTTGTTTGTTCATTTCGTTTTCCATCCACGAAGATAGGCCAGTCAACTGTTTTTTCAACTGTTCTTTCTCTTCTGCGACCTCATCGTACAGCGACAACTTTGCTTCCAGTTGTGCAATGTAATATTTCAAATCTCCTACACTTGTCGTCGTTTCTTCAGATCCATTTTTACTCTGTAAAAACCAGTTTTGATATATACCCGATTGTCATTTTCTACTTTCTTTATAAATAATTACTTACACAACTCGATGAGGACATCTTGTTAAGATAAATTATTTTGATCGGCAAATTTTTATTGTTTTAAAAATTAATATTTACTAA